ACACAAAAATAAACAAATAAAATAAAGGCATTTTGTTCATTTACAACTACAAAAAAATTTTTTTAAGTATACGTCTGTATACATGCATCAATCAAGTATATATGAGGAACATATGTACAACTACATACACAAGTATATAATCATGCAGTACATATGTACATAAGCAATATTTTCTCTTTCCAGAGACTAACTTAAGCAATTTCCTCTTGCATCGATTTTGAGAGATACCCTAGGCAAATACGAACAAATGCAACTGTCATCTCTCCCCACCCTTAGTACATGACACTTTGAACCTCAATGTTTCCCCATATCTACCAGCTGGAAGATGTTTCATTTGTGCAAAAACTTTAGTCTAGTAGGATTTGAAAACATTATGAATGATAAACCTCAAAATGATCTACATACTTAAGCTATTATAGCTTTTCTCTCTTTTTATACTGGTTGAGCCCAGGGAAGCTCTACCTCCAAGCTACATTTCCTATCTTTTTTTTTTTTAATTTTTGTTTTGGACAGAGTCTCTCTATGTTGCCCAGGCTGGCCTTGAACTCTTGATCCTCCCACCTCAGCCTCCCAAGTCTCAGCTGTCATAGCTGTTCTGTGACCTTGGAGAGCAGTGAGCTATCACATGTACATGGGGCTTTGTTGTGTGGACACTTTACCATAAGTTGGACACATTTTTTTCCCTTGTACTGCTGATGTTTCCTTCCACTAAGAAAGATGCTGATGTGGTGGCAAAGATTTGCAGAGGGTTTAACGTAATAATTCATAGTTCTCCACACTCTCCGACAAACTTTAGATGTTTAGATGCCATATAATACTCAATAACATCAGGAAATTACCCATTATCTGTTACTTTATAGGAATTATCCAGCACAAAGAATTACATTAATATTTAATTCTTGATATTTTGATAATCTAACATAATAAACATACACACGTACATCCCCTTCTAGTTTTATGATATTTGATAGTTTGATACTTCTAAAGTGTTGCTAATCACAGTGAATTTTAATTCTCCACTCTTTTTTTTTTTTTTTTTTTTTTTTTTTATGTTGCTGGGCATGGAACCCAGGGCCTCCTGCTGCATGCTAGGCAAGTGCTCTTTCATTGAACTACATCCCCAACCCTTCTCCATTCTTTAAGGTGAGCATTGAATTGAAATTTTAAAATAGCCCTGAACATCATATCACTTTTTACCGGATAGCTATTGTGGTTCTATTAGCACAGACATTTCAACTTTCTTCTATTACATATTCATGAAAAAAATGGTGTTTGCTTATTGACACATTAAGTCAGTCATTAACACAGACCAAGTTGGTTACATCTAACCAGTCACCCTGTGTGCTTCGAGTGCTCTGTGCAGCCATGTGACAAGTGTCTTCTGTAGGGTGAACCCATGGGTCTAGGTAAACAGGGACACCAGTGGAAAGAGGCAGTACACGTGCCTTTTGAAGGCAGGGCTGTGCAGGTGAGGACTGAAGCCAGAATGCTTGTGTCCTTGCCAGTGGGTGACCATGGACTACTGCACATTTCTTGTGCCTCAATTTCTATACCTATATAATGGGGCAATAGTACCAGCCTCATAGAGCTGTGAGGACAAAGGGAGTTACCCTGCGCACAGTGAGCAACTTGGAGCTGGCCTTGCTGCCCTTGTGAGGACAGGTCTAGGCTTATGTGTGAGGGGTGGGAGAGACTCCCTGACCTTGGCTGCCCACTATGATGATAACTCCCTTGCCCGTCCGTGAGTGCTCATGCACCTTGGGGGCTGAGCAGAGACCGACAGGTGCCTCCCACCGGCAGGGTAGTCCAAGGCCAGAAAGCCAGGAGTTGGAGCTGAGGCCTGGGATGCTAGGATATGCCTGTGAGCATCTTGTTGCCATAGCATCAGCAGGAGCAAAAAGAGGGGCTGAGGCTAGGACAGATGGGTACAAAGAGAGATCTCTGACATACAGGAAGTGGCAGAAAAATAGAGGCAAATTGATCAAGAAATGAAAAAAGACAACAAAAAAGAACTCTCCAATGAAATTTAAAATGAGATTTTTTTTTAATTGGGGAGGAAGAACAGTTAACAAATGGGTTTGTGTGGTGGAGCAGAGCTTCGACCTCCTATCATTAAATCTTTTCTGCAGTGATCTCTTGACTCTGCCAGATGTTGTGGCTTTGATTGAAAATACTTCTGCATTAAGTAGCCAATGTTGTGGGGAAGGTTGCTCAGAAACACACCAAGTCCCAGTTTTGTACAAATGTAAGAGTCTTTATTTAGCCAGCCAGCTGGTGAGTACTCCCCACAGGACCCATAACTTTCTCTGCAAGAAACAGCTCTGAGCCTGAGCATTTTAGGATATTTAAAGGCAAAAACCACATCTGGGTTGATGCAGCTGCTAACAAGCAGGTACAGAAGCTGAACTGGGCAGATAGCGAGACAATGCGATGGGTACATTGGTATTTCCCATGGGACTTTCCAGGTTGGCATAGCAGCAAGCCAGCAGAAGGGAAGTGGGTCAAAATGACCCTAGCTCGGTACAAAGTTAGAGAATGGTTACTAAGGACTAGACAATCTATCTCTCACAAGGTACACTGCCCAAGAAAAATGGAAACAAGAGAACAATTTTACATTGTATAAGAATTACTATTTTCTGTTGCCAAGTATTTTATGCTAGGTAACTATTAATGGGTACAGAGGCGGGGCTTTCCCACGGGAGAAGCATTTCTTATATGATGGAGTCTCAGGGTAAAATGGAGTCTGTTTGGTCATTGCCCATATAGCCTGGCCCATAATGTGACACTTTCTCAAGAGCAGGTTTGCACAAGTGGGTATTGGACAGGCATGTACAAGGGAGAGGCTGGAGGGCAGAGGAAACAAACTCACTACTACAGTTCACTGGTACCGAGTCTGAATGCACAAACCAGCAGCCATCTCTCTGCTGGACAGACAGGACTTCACAGGAACAACTTGCCCGTACTGAACATCCTCAGCAAAGCTCCTAGGACACCCAGGCAAGGCAGGCTCGCCTAAAGCCCTGCTGCACAGCCCTGTGATGCTCCCCAGATTTGGGGAGATGGGCAGTCTTGTGAGGACGTGCTTCCTGGTATTCCTAAGCCAACTTCCTATTTTACTTTTTTGGTTGTTTGGTACTGGAGATTGAACCCAGAAGCACTTTACCACTGAGCCACAGACTCAGCCCTTTTTATTTTTTTCAAATTTGATTCAGGGTCTCACTAAGTTGCTTAGAGCCTCACAATTATTTAAGAAATAGAGCTGGGAAGGTGGTGCACACCCATAATCCCAAAGACTCTGGGGGCTGAGGCAGGAGGATTCCAAGTTTAAGGCCAGCCTCAGTGAGACCCTGTCTCAAAATAAAAAATAAAAAGGGTTAAGGATGTAGCTCAGTGGTTAAGCACCTCTGGGTTCAATCCCAGGAAAAGGAAAAAGAAAAGAAAAGAAATAATTAATGGGCTGGGGATGTGGCTCAAGCGGTAGTGTGCTTGCCTGGCATGCGTGCGGCCTGGGTTCGATCCTCAGCACCACATACAAAAAAACAAAAAACAAAGATGTTGTGTCCGCTGAAAACTAAAAAATAAAATATTTTTAAAAATTCTCAAAAAAAGAAAAAATAAATAATTAATAATTCATTGTTTAAAAATCTTCCCAGAAAGAAAATTTCATACCCAGATGATTTCATTTTCCTAAAATGTTCCCAAACATTTTGGGAGAAAAATAACTCCCATTCTACACAAACTAACCTAGGTAAAGAAAAAGGAGGAATGTTCCAAGTTTTTATTCATAAGAGCAGTCATTATGTGATATTAAAACCACAAAAAGACATTATAAGAAAAAATACAGGATGGAGAGCTTATCTAGCATGCGCAAGGCCCTGTTTAACACCCAGCAATGGGGGAAAAGAAAGAAAGAAAGAAAGAAAAGAAAAAGAAAACAAGTAGACAAATGTCACTCATGAACATAGACACAAAAACTCTTTTTTTTTTAAGAGAGAGACAGAGAGAGAGAGAGAGAGAGAGAATTTTTTAATATTTATTTTTTTTTAGTTTTCGGCAGACACAACATCTTTGAGGATCGAACCCGGGCCGCACGCATGCTAGGTGAGCGCGCTACCGCTTGAGCCACATCCCTAGCTCCTAGACACAAAAACTCTTAATGCAGCTGGGCACAGTGGAGTATGCCTGTAATCCCAGTGGCTTGGGAGGCTGAGGCAGGACGATCATGAGTTCAAAGCCAGCCTCAGCAATGGTGAGGCACTAAGCAACTCAGTGAGACCCAGTCTTTAATAAAATACAAAAAAGGGCTGGATGTGGCTCAGTGGCTGAGTGCCCCTGAGTGCAATCCTCAGTGCCAAAAGTAAATAAGTAAATGAATAATTAATTAAAAACTTAATGTTTTACCAAACTGAATCAATAAAACATACACACACACACACACACACACACACACAAGGATAATATGTTATGACCAAGTGGATTTTGCTTTGAAATACAAGGTTGGCAAGTCCCACAACTTACTATTAACACTGTGCTTTAGGTCCTAGTCAGTTCAACAATTCAAGAAAAAGAAAAAAGGCATACATGTTGAAATGAAGGAATAAGATCATCTTATTTGTAGATGTCACAAACATTTGCATAGAAAATCCAAGTAATCTAAAAAATCTGCTAGAGAGAATGTAATTTTAGCATAGTCAAAGGATACAATGTCAATGTATAAAAATCAATGTTATTCACATATATTAGCAATGAATAATTATAAATTAAAAATAATACAATAGCATCAAAAATGTTTTTTGAGCTTAACTGGAAATGTTCTAAATCACAGATATGGTAGTGGTCATATGATGCTAAGGCCTGAATGTGCCCAACCAAGCTCAGACCTTGAACTTAACCAACACTGTGACAGAATTAAGAGGCGGGGGCCTACAGCAGGCAGCTAAGTCCTGAAGGCTCAGTAGGGTTAGCGCCCTTATAAAGGAGGCTGCAAAGAGTGATCTCACCATTTCCCACCATCTCTTCTGCTGTTTGAGGACGTGGTGGTTCCTCTCCTCCAGAGGACACAGGAGCACAGCATCATCCCGGTAGCAGAAACCAGGTTCTCAGGACACAAAACCTAGTGGTGCCTCAATCTTGGATTTTCAGCCTCCAGAACTGCAAGGAATAAGTTTTTGTTCTTTAAAACCATCCAGTCTCAGGCATTCTGTTACAGTAATGGGAGTAGATTGATACACTGAGTATAATTATAGGACAAAATAAAGCTTTTCCACTGGGCCAAACTAGAAGGTCCTTGTTTAGCACCTGGACAGCCATCTTAATTGACAGCCGCCATTTTAAGAAAAAAGTTTTGCTTTCCCACCCCCAAGGTCCTTTCTGAGAAAGGCTCACTGCTCCCTCATACCAACCCAACCCTTCACTGCCCACATTAGGACCTACCCAGCTCTAATCCCCAAACCTCCCCCATAAAAGTCTTGAACCCCAGGCCTGTGTTGCCTCTCTCCATCTATGGAAAGATGGTCTTTATTTGTCAGCTCTGACTGGTCTCATGTGTCTCTGACTGGTCTCCCTCTTTCATTTCTTACTCGCCCTGCTCCTGGTTCCTCGCTTTCCTTTCAGTTGTGAGAAGGATAATGGCAGGAGATTGGGAATGACAATCATATAGGGGTTGGAAGCAAACTAACTTTGGATTTTACTGAGTGACATAGGAAATTGAGGATTCTGTGCAGAGGACTGAAATGATCTGACTTTTAGGAAGGATTATAGAGCTAGGGATGTAGCTCTGTGATAGAAATGCCTACTAAGCATGTGAAAGGCCCTGGATTTCATCCCCAGCATCACAAACAAAACAAAAAATATCATCTGTCACTGTAGGGAATCAGGGAGGGAATGTAGCAGGTGTTATGGGTTGAATTGTGCCTTCCCCCCAAAATTTTGAAATCTTAACCTCTAGTATTTTTGTGAATATAACCTTATTTGGCAGGGGGAATCTGTGGATGATCAAATTATGATGAGGTCATTAGGGTGTGTCCAAATGCAACAGGACTGGTATCCTTACAAGAAAGGAAAAACGCAATGGGAGGACAGAGACACACAAGGAGATTGTCACATAATAACCGAAACAGACTAGAGAGATGTAGCTTCACTTGCAAGGAACGTCAAGAGTTGACAGCCACCACGGGAAGTTAGAAAAGGCATAGTTTCCTCCCCTGGAGACTGTAGATAGAGCATCATTATGCAAAACCTTGATTTTAGAATTGTGGTCTCCAGATTTTAGAAAAATAAACTTCTGTTGTTTAAGCCACTCAGTTTGTAGCACTGTGACACGACAGTCCCAGGAAGCTAATTCAGGCTACCGCCATCATGTGATGGTGTCTTCTCATAAGATGACCTAAGTATGAGAGACAGGCAACAACAGGAGGGGACAAGGGTGAGAATGAGAAGTCAGAATATACCTTCGCAGCAGGAGAAAGATTGAAATGCAGACCTCGAAGGGGGTCCCACCATCCCAGACTGAAACCCTATAGGGTGGTTTTTATTTATTTATTTTTGGTTCCTGACTGGAAAGTCCTAATCACGCAACACTCTATTGTGACCCCAGATTTCCTTGACGACCCTCACATTAGTCCACCTCAAAGAGCTGTTTTCATCTCAAGCAGTTCTTTTGTTTTAAGGAACAAGTTCAGGACAAAGTGAGGTGAGCAAAGACATTAAACCCATCCATATGGGAATAAGAAATCAGGATCTTACACTTTCAATTGCGCCAGAAGGCTTTTCCTCATCAGTAACGAATAGAAACCCCCGACAACGACCCGCGGGCAGCCCTGTCTAGGGGCCCTACCCTCTCGGGAGCTCTGCTTTCCTGTACTCCAATGAACCCCGTCACTTTGCTGCTTCACACCCCGTGTCCGTGGATCCCACTCTTCGGACTCGCTAGACAACCCGCCCGTGCGCTCCGTGACACCCTTCCAGGGGGGCTGGCTTGAGCGCAGGGAGCCGTGGAGCGGCCACTTGCTGAGACGCGGACGAGGCGGGCAGCGGGGTCGGGGTCGGGGTGGGGCAGCAGTCTGCTTTACTTCAGGCCCAATAAGAAAGGAAAGGCACGCCCTCCACCCGCTTTCTGATCAGCCGAGGGACAACCTGACAGGTGTTCTGGGCAGCCAGCTCTCACTCCACCACTTTCCGTAACTTCCTTGGCCCAAAACGACCAATTAAAATTAAAACAGGCCCCAAATCTTTAAGACTCATCCCGATTCGCTTTAGCCTCCCTAGCTGGGCCAGGCGGGTTGGGCATTGGGCTTGTCAATCGTCCGAAGCCCGGCGTGATTGGTGGAAGTGGTCCAGGGGAGGAGCGACATCTGGACCTTTGCGAGTTGATGCGATTCCGTTTCCGGCGGCGGCTCTGGGGCTCCCGGGAACCGGAAGGAGCGTCGCCAATGGCTGGGGATCAGACCGCGGTGCGATGGCGGACCGGAAAGAGCGCCACGAGAGCCGCTCAGAACCCGGAAGGAGCGCCGGGGCCGCCGCGCGGGGCTTGCCGGGAGCCTGAGGAAAGGATGGCTGCGGTTCCGGCCTTGGCGCGGAGGCCGCCGGGTATCCGGAAGGCCGAGATCGGGCTATGGGTCCGCGCTGTGCGGTAGTGCAGCTCTGCGGGCGAGGTAAGCTCGGTCTCCGCCTGCCCGGGGATGACCACTCGCACAGGCCCCGGGGTTGCGGTCGCTGGTGTGGCCGCGGTGGCACTTCTGTCGGCCGCGGTGGCGCTGTACGGGCCTCTGGACGCAGGTACCCGACCGCGGGCTGCTTCTGCGGGCGGGCGGCGCGGAGCGCGGGGCGTCCTGGCCGACCGTCTGTCCGCCGGCTCCGGCCGGGATTCACTCGTCAGCCCCGGCGGGGCGGCGCCGACCGGCGCCTTTGGAGCCGCTGCGGGTCCCGGCACCTCTGCCGGCCTGGGCGTGCGCGCGGGGGGCCGGCGCGGGAGGCCCCGGGGCCCGGCACCTCCCCAGGGCCGGCGGGTAGGAGGGCTTAGGTCGCAGGTCGCGTGGGTGTCCTCTCCGCCGGGAGCCGTCTCCCTCGCGGGCCCCACCGCTCCGGCAGTCGGGTGGCGGTGCGCAGGGGCGCCGTGCGCCCTGGGGGTCGTTGGGGTCGGCCCCTGCTGTGGGAGTTGGCGCGGTCAGCGCCGCGGCATCTGGCGCTGGGTGTTCAGCTGACTAGTTCTTTTTATTTTTTTTTTCCAATTTTTAAAAATTGTCGGTAGACCTTTTTGTTTATATGCGGTGCTGAGACTCACCCTTGCTAGGCAGGCTCTCTACCGCCCAGCCCCAGCCCCCTGACTAGTTATTTTTTGCTTAGTTGTAGGTGGACACGACACCTTTATTTCGTTTATTTTTATGTGGTGCTGAGGATCGAACCCAGGGCCTCGCTCCACAACCCCAGCCCTCAGCTGACTAGTTCTGAGTGCACTGAGGGGCCCTTAGTTTACACCACCAGGGTGGCTTCTGGGGCCGCTTTAGAGACTTTTTTCCCCCCCTCTCTGTTGGTAGTTGTTTGCCTTGAATTTAGATACTTTATGATTAGTTTGCAGGGTTTTTCTATACACTTATTTTAAGTTTCATTATTAAATTTTCGTGAACTTTCTGAAAAAATGATTCTTGGCTTTAAAACTTCAACGCCATTCAGACGTTAGGATGTGTCTTGACTCAGTTAAGGAATGCTGACACATGCTTCTAATTCGCGTTCACTTAAAGCGCTTTTGGTACAGAGAAGACACACTTCTTTAAAACCAACGAAACCCAAACAGATTTGACCAGGTTTTCCGGCCTGGTTTGTTAGGAAGCCAAATTGACTTATATAAGTATCATTGCATTTTAAATGTGCTCTTGGCAAGGCCTTTTATCCTTCAGAACTTTGGTGTTTATATTTAAATACTTACATGGATAAATCCAAGTGGTGTGTGACAGTAAGCCAACTGAAATTTGATGCACTCTGAGTGTTGGGACATTTAACTGACTTTCCTTTGATCTTTTTTTTTTTTCCTTTTGTTCAGGGATTAAACCTAAACCTAAGGGTGCTCAACTACTGAGCCACATCCCCAGCCCTTTTTATTTTTCTTCCCAAATGTATTTAGAGTGCATTTGATAGACATTTGACTTTTGGTTGGTGAAGTGAATAATTTTGCTGAAGAAAAATTTGGTTTGCCTTCAAATGACAGCTTTTTTTTTTTTTTTTTTTTTTTTTTTTTACCTAGGGGTGCTTAACCACTGAGCCACATCCTTGGCCCTTTTTTATATTTTATTTAGAGACAAGGTCTCACTGAGTTAGTTGCTAAGTGCCTCGCTAAGTAGCTGAGGCTGGCGTTGAACTCTCAATCCTCCTGCCTCAGCCTCCCAAGGTCTTGGGATTATAGGCATGCACCACTATGCCTGGTTATATGACAGCATTTTTATGAATTTTTGAGAGATGAATTTTGCATTGGTGGGTTGGTCGTGTGGCTTGGCTTGTCCATTACTAACAGTGCATCTTCATGAATCTCCTCCTCTCTAGGCCTCAGTTTCCTGGTCTGTAAAAAAAGATAAACTAGCTCAGTGTGAGAAAACTGAACCACTGTGCCTTTAATTCGCCAGACACTGATTGAGTTTTCTCTTCTTTGGCAGTCTTTTTTGGATGAGGGTGGGTATCCCACATGAAGACACTGTAGCTCCCTTCAGCCAAGGTGGGAGTGAAGCTATACACTGCAGGCAGAAGGTGATAGGGTGGTCTCACCAGCTCAGACAGGAAAATGGCCATCTTATGACCGTTAACCCTCCTACATATGGGTCAGTGCTGGAAAGATGTCACGGCTACACGAGTAATAATATTGCTTTGCCTTTGGCTAGCACTGTGAATTTTTAAAATTTCATAATAAAAAGTTTTTAAAATAAATTTTAAAATTAACAGTTATGCTTTTAAATCAGTTACAATTACATTATGCTTTTAACATAATTCCAAAATGCGTACATTTGAGAGCTACTTCTCATGTCCAAATCTTCAGGTAATTCTGATGCTTGCTGTCCTCAAGGATTCTTGGACCTGGCCCTTGCAGTAGCATCACAGCTCATAAACTGGGGATCCAGCGAAAGTCATTTTTGTGGGGGTAGGGGCCGATAGGTAGGGGTTTCACTTAATTGCCCAGGTTGGTCTTGAACTCCTAGACCTAGGTGATCTCCCTGCCTTCTGACTGCTGGGTTTATGGGCAATGTACCCAGCTCCCAAAGTCTTAAAATGTGATGGCCCAGAAGAGGAGGGAGAGGTAAGTTTTGCATTGGTGGGTTGGTGAAATTGCTGTGAAGGTGTTTAAATGTGCTCACTTTGGGTTCCAAAATACCAGTTCTGTGTAAGGAAAAGGATTGCTCAGCACAGGTTCCCCCAGGCCTGTCCTCTGGGTACCGTAAAGACTGCTATATGAATATGGTGTGAGGTTTTACATAATTAGAAGACACATTTTGGGGTTATGATAAATGAGATTTTAAAAAATCAAATGCTTCACCTATAGTAGAAAAATCTGCCACAGTAGCTCAAACACTTGTCGGAAGCTGGTTGGGGCCTCTAATCTCAGTGACACAGGAGGCTGAGACGGGAGGATTGCAAGTTTGAAGTCAGCCTCAGTAACATAGTGAACCCCTAAGCAACTTAGTGAGACCCTGTATAAAAATAAGAAAGGGCTGGGGATGCGGCTTACTGGTAAAGTGCCCTTGGGTTCAGTCCCCAGTACCAAAAACCAAGCAAACAACTTGTTGGGTTTCTTGGTATCTTAATGAAGCTTATCTTGAAGTGGAGGGAGAAGGATGAGCACTCATCATTATTTGATTAACAACAAAAATTACTATTTGCCTTTAAATATGTAGAGTTTAAGCATGTGGGCACTCAGCCTAGCACATCTCCCCTTTCTCAGCCACAAAAATCAGAATGGTGGAGCTGGGTGTGGTGGCACATGGCCTATAATTCTAGTGACTCGGGAGGCTGAAGCAGGAGGATCATGAGTTCAAAGCCAGCATCAGCAACTCAGGGGGACCCTGTCTCTAAATAAAATACAAAAAGGGGCTAGGGATGTGGCTCAGTGATTGGGTGCCCCTGAGTTCAACACCCAATATCAAAAAAAAAAAAAACAGAATCGTGTCGGGCTAGCCCACTTGTGCTGAGGTATGGGACAGTGTGCAAGTGTGGACACTTGAAAACAACAAAACTGCACACATAAAAAAGTTTTACACTTGTTGAATGAAGTTTTACTTGGCATGTTTTGCTGTTTTTTAGTCCCAGAGGTTTTACTGAAGTGCTTCTGCAAGCACGGCTGCCCCAGCGACAGCAAGGCTCCTTCCACAGCGACTGTGGGCTGAGAGCTTCATTGTTATGTGCTGGGAAGAACACTGCAGGGCAGTTGGTGTATTGACTCATGTATTTCTGCCTTTTTAGAGTACTTGAGGTTGAACCTAGGGGTGCTCTACCACCCTTAGCCGTTTTTAAAAAATTTTTGAGACAGGGTCTCAGGAAGTTGCCCAGGCTGGGAAGATTACAGACAGGGGTGTGTGCCACTATGCCTGGCAACATTTCTATCTTTTAAAATGTCCTTCTTTAGACAGATTAGGGAAAGTAAATTGATAGAGATTGTGCCTTTGAGGTCTGGTACACACGGAGTATATTTCTTTTTACTTAGTGATGAACAGTAAAAATGATTATCATTTCCCCAAACTGTCTTTCCTTGCTAAATGTTAAAGTTCCTGATTGTTATGAACACTAGACGTGGTATCCACTCAGTTATAGTAGTTATTATGATGAATGACTAATATAACTCCTCCCAGTAACCATTGGGAGGAGTTATTGACATGCTAGTTTGGAAACAGAACTTGAAACCAGCATGTCTGGCATCCATACAACATGAGGAAATCCACTTGGCCATGGGGATATTTTCCATGTGACTGAGTGCTTTGTATAAAGCCATGTTTACAAAGACCTGAAATGTTGTAGGGAGTATAGAACAGTCCTTGAGTGACTGAATTCTATTTTTACAGTTCCTAGACTTGAAAAAGCGTCTGTATTTCTTGTTCAGTGGACATTATCTGACATTCTTGTATCGGTGAGTCATGATGTTACAGTTCCCAGTGTGGTAAGGTGTGGAACAGGCCCCTGTTAGGTGTGTTCATTACTGCATAGATTGTTCATCAACATTCATACATTGTGCTTAGATCTCATCTAGCAGCTCCCAATCTTTGTATGCAGCTCATCAAAGGGAGCACCAGGAGAGAGCTTTTTTGCTGCTTAGTCTTTGCATGGTGAAAAAACAGTGCAAACTTTGGTGACTGAGGACATACAGAAATGAATTCGGAAGAGAGAAAGATTTGGCCCAGTGCTTCTGTGGCCTGGACCACATCTGGGTTTGAGCTGGGATTGCAGCTATGTCACCAGGGCAGAAGGTAGCTCATGATGACAGGCTCTGGGAGCAGCCCTGTGATGAGCCTAGCAGGACTTTTCCCTGGCAGGAGGTTCCCTGGATCTGAGTTTGTCTTCATTCTGCTTTGGTTTAGATGTTGATGAAAGGGAGGTGGGTTGATATTAACTACGCCTTTTCACCTTGGGATCTGACACATCAGCTAAGGCACTTGCATCTGCTTGTTAAAGAAAATACTTGAATGTTTGTTGAGTGAAAAGTAAAACAAACAAAGCTGTTTATCTGTGAGGAACTGGGTCAGCTTTTAGTCTTCAGTGGAATTTGTGAAACATTGGTTTTTGTCAGCTGTGGAAATAATTGGAAGGATGAAAACAATAAGTGCCTTGTTTGAGAAACTGTTGTTCATATTTGCAAAGATCCTTTAGGTCTAGAAAGATGTGTGCCTTATTATCTATTCATGCACTGTGTGCCGCAGAGTGGATCAACCTCTCAAGGCTGAGCTGTCTTGAATATCAAGGCAAAATGTACAACTGCAAGAAGCTTGCAAGAAAGCCAATTGAAATGTAACTATTAGGAGACAATTCAAAGTGATGAAATTATTCTAATATGCCACTTTGAACCCAGTTTAAGATATTTGCTATATTTAGAATTCCATTTCTAGGTTATTTAATTAGGATCCAAATGAGTGTCAAAATAACAATTAAGAAAAACAGGAGGACTCTTTCAAACTTTTGAGTGTATCAGTTTTCAAGTTGTTAAAACTTTCTAGAAGATTAAGTAGAATGTCTGATACAATTCAAATATAAACTTGGCATATACAGCTTGTTGTGATTTTTTTTTTTTAAAGTTACTTATTCTTTAGTTTTAGTTGGACACAATACCTTCACTTTATTTATTTATATGTGGTGCTAAGGATCGAACCCAGGGCCTTGCACATGTGAGGCAAGCGCTGTACCACTGAGCCACAACCCCAGTCCTGTTGTGATTTTTTTTTTTTTAATTTTTTTAGTTGTAGGTGGACACAATACCTTTATTTACTTATATGTGGTGCTGAGGATTGAACCCAGGGCCTCATGCCTGGTAGGCGAGCATTCTGCCGCTGAGCCACAACCCCAGCCCAATTTTTTTTTTTTTTTTTTAAACATTATTTGCCTACAAAAAACAGTGAAACCTTTAGGTAGAAATCTGTAGCATACATATTGTCAGCTTTGGAAAGTGTTTTGGCTAATGGGGTATTTTAAGTCTCTGTCATTTATGTGTATGAACACGTATTCATCTCCCTTTCTGAATGATGTAATTCTCCTGTTTTTCAGTTTTACGAAGAACCTTTTCACTGCATAAAGCACACTCGATAAAGGACATGGACAATACCTTTCAGCTGGTGAGAAACATTATCCCTGCTCTCACTGCCAAGAAGCACAAAGGGCAAGACGGAAGGATAGGCGTAGTGGGAGGCTGCCAAGAGTAAGTGGTGGCTGTGTTCAAAAAGCCCCTCCCTCCCTACCTGTCTGCTCACCTGTCAGCCATCACTGGTCTAGTGTGAGCTTCATAATCATTTCCAAATGCCGTCTGATAAGCAGTGTTTTTCAGGATCAGCTTCCTGGTTAAAAGGGGGAGTCTGAGAAAGCCTGGTGGAACTGCTCACTGATGTGTGTCAGTGTTGGGGCTTTGCAGCTGCCCTTTCCTGTGTGGTTTTCTGTGTTTACCAGTCGTCACCAGTCAGAAACCTGTTTTTCTTTCATAACCAGGGTGAAGGCACTCTGCCAGCTCTTGGCCTATTTTGCAATTTAAAGATATTCTTGGAGTCATTTATAATGTTTAATCCTACCTTTTTCCCAGGCCAGTCTTATCTTCTGCTTTTATATACCTTTGCAACTGTGTTTTACACAAAAGATTTACAAACTTTCCTGTGTATAAGTGAAAGCAGTCCTATACTGGCTGCTCTGTTTCAGCTTGCTTTCTGTTCCCACTTATATGATATCTCTTGGTCAACCTGCATTTTCAACCATTTTTCATATATTTAGGTGTATTTTATTATAAATGTATAGCCAGATTTTGTTTCTTAACCCAAAACTACAGTGAATAAGTTTAGCTGGTGGCCACCCTTTCCACCCAGGAAGCAGCATGGGAAAAATGTTGGAGATGTGTCCCCTCTTACTCATCCATGTGACTCCCAGGCCCATGTGGCCCTCTTTGACCTTATGTCACTGTTGGACGCAGAAATCCCACCTGAACACTTACCATAAATTTAACTGTATTGTGAGATGAACCACGTTCATTCTTCTGCCTTCCCTCAGATTAGTCTTTGGGTAGGGATACTTTGACCCCTGGCATCTCCCTGCAGAGTGATTTCTTGCATGGTTGCAGATCCTCTGGTGTCGTGCTATGGTGGGCAGTGGCTGCAGGCTGCAGCTCCTTAGGAGGTGGTTGAAATCTAGATGTTAGCTAGATTTCTGTTAGCTTCCATTTTGCACCTTGGAATTCTGACACGAGTCCTGTTCTCTTTGATCTCTAAGTGGTGTTTTCTTGCTTGGATGTTTGTACAGTTCTCCAGGCTGTCTGGCTGTGTGGTTTTACTTGTTGTCATCAGTCTGAGCAGTGCCTGAGCCGTTAGCCCCCTCTGGTGAAGCATCTTGCCTGGGTTTCTGGTGCTGCACTCTCCTCTCTCTTATGCCCCTCCTGTGCATGTTGGGTCCCTGGATCTGCCTTCCATGCTTGGCACCTCCTTCACAGTTTTCCTCTATGGCTCTGCCATTTCCGTGTTCTCCCGCTCGACCTCGTCTTACTCCTGTTTCTCCTGGACCCAGTCCTGCTGATGTTCAGGTTAGCCCTTTCTCCTCCCACTTCCTAGGGAGTGCATTTCCTTCTGCTGGCTCCTGACTTTGTCAGTTCAGGATGTCTTTCACAGCAGGAGACTCCAGGATGAGCCCCTCCCATACACACACACCCTTTGGAAGATAGCAGTTTCTGCAGTGTGAGTCAGCTGGCCAGCAGTCTGTCCAGGAAGGGTGTGAAAACTCTGGCACAGAAAGGCAGTTCTTCTGCCTTTGGAACGCTGGGTTCAGGAGATAGCCCTCTCCTGATCTCAGGACTAGAGGCCACCTATGTAGCCCCACTAAGCCTCCTAGGGAAAGCCTTTGGGTCCTTCCTCCCCAGAGTCAAGAGTCATGTAGCACTCTAGGGTAGAGTTACTTAATGTGAAAATGCCTATTCGACTAACCTTGGAAAGAAGAAACACCTCTGTTCTGATTATAAAAGTAAAGTCTACATGTAGAAATCTGAACGCTAGAGCAGTGTGTACAGCGAGCATCCTGTGGTGTCCCCTGTGATAGCAAACACCACATATGCGCTGTTAGCCTTCCCAGGCTGCTAAGATGTGCACTGTTTTACTAAGGGGGCCGTGGTGTAGATGCTCTGTTTCATCTGGCCTTCTCACCTTGCATTCTTTTCTGGAATCTCTCTCTGCTGATTCACATGTGTTACTTATTGACAAGTGGGTATGTGGTGCTCCCTGCCAGGGTGGGCCAGGTGTTGAGATCCACAGCCGAAGGGGCCCCAGCAAACTTCCAGTTTAATTGGTCCCCTGTTGGTGAGTGGCTAGCTGCTTCTGCTTATCTTTGGTTAACGTGTAGCTGTGGACATCCTGTACACATACATCCTTGCATACCCATAGGTTATTTCTGAAGGATCCAGTCTCAAGAACTTTCACTGGGTCAGAGTTCATTTCAAGCACTAGTAAACCTTGCTCCGACTCTCCTCCCCAGCCCAGATTGCACTCTGGTGCACTGGTAGCCAGCCGCCCTGCTCCTATGGGTGTGGGCGAGGGAGTGGGCTTGCTGGCTCTTTTGGCTAAGGCTCCACTCTTTGTGGAGTGAGTGCATGTGTTGCCTATTTTGTGTCCTGTCTTTTGCACTTTTGACACTTTCTGGTGACACTGATTTAGAGAAGGCCATGTTTGGAGAGTGTGTGCAGCATTTGTCCCCAGTTTGCTTCACTGCTTGAAACGGACATGCCAGTTTCAGTAGCTCATCTGATGCCCTAGGCAAGGGTCTTCTTTCTGTGCTTGAGGTAACAGTAAGCACAGTCACTCACACTCATACTGAGCATTTGCTGGGTGTCTTGCTGTGAGAACACAGAGACAGTAGTAAGATGAGAGCACTGGGCAGGCACAGTGCTCATGTGGCCCCCATCTGGCCTCTGGGGTCCTCTTGTTCTGGGGCCTCGGTCCTCTGGCTCTGGGGCCTGGTTTTCTCCTGACTGCCCTAAGCTGGTGGACATCTCTGCCTTCTGTCCTGCAGAAGCCTGCAGCCAGCTCTACCTCATCATGCTTGGCACAGAGACCATGAGAGGTGGCGTCAGTGATTAAGTCACCTGAACTAGCGTGTGTGCTCCACATGTGGTGCAGAGGTGTTGCACACAAGAATAAGGCTTTCCTGACTCTGACCCGTGTGACCATTCACTGAGCATTTGCTAGGTGCTGGGTATGTGCTGTGTGCCCCATGTTGGAGTCATTTATTGATAATTTATATATTTTTATATTTATTATCTGTATTTTTGTTGATAATTTGTTATTTACTGTTAAATGTGTATTCTCACTTGCAGAAGTTTTTTTTTTGTTTTGTTTTGTTTTGTTTTTCTTTTGACTGTTAATATCTTCATTTTAGGTATACAGGAGCCCCATATTTTGCAGCAATCTCAGCTCTCAAAGTGGTAAGTTTACCTAAAACTACTTTATTGGGGATTTTTGATAGAGTTGGGTTATTTAAATATGATTAAAGAAAATGGTTAGGATAGAATTCTCAGTAACATTTTAGAGTAGTTATAGGTAATAGAAACACCTTTAAATATATCCTGACTTCCTGTACAATAACAAAATAACTCAATTGAAATACATTTAAAAATAAATAAAGTTTTAGTCTCATTTTACTTCACCAGAATGATACTGGGATGCCTTTTTTTTTCTTTTTTTAAATAAGTAAGAAATTGATGACTTTGGTTTTTATATTATTTTATTAGAACTTGGAATTGAACCTAGGCTTTACCTTTTTATTTTTTATTCTGAAATGGAGGTCTCACTAAGTTGCCTAGACTGGCCTGAAACTTGCAGCCCTCCTGTCAGCCTCCTAGGTCCCTGGGGTCACAAGTTTGTGCCACTGTGCCCAGCCAAAGTCGATGCCTTTGAAACTGGCCATTTCCCACGCATTTGATCAAGTTGCATGGCCCAGGTAGTGTGGAGTGGCTGAGCTGATATGGCTCTGCCCTGCCTGCAGGTGGCAGTAGTCATCTAGCTTTGTCTCCAGGCCTTGTCTTCTGCCTGCCTTTTTCTGAGGCCATCTGGTTGTGGTCTAACTGCAGAGTTGTATTGGTCTTTATGTGAAGTAAGTTCTAAGTGACTGGGGTGGTTGTACGTACATGTCATGGGCTGAGCAGCTTGTGCCTGACGCTGCTTATGGGGCCTGTGGAGGGCAACCTGCTCAAGTTGGCCTCTTGTCTTGTTTCTCAGGGCGCAGATTTGGCTCATGTTTTCTGTGCCAAGGAGGCGGCGCCTGTGATTAAGTCCTACAGCCCGGAGCTGATCGTCCACCCAGTCCTGTGAGTCTGGACAGGTGGATTCTCTTTCTTGCAGTAGCTGTCCTCAGCCCCTGAGCATTTCTAAGCCAACACTGAGTTCTGTTAAGTTCCTACTGTGCTCAGAATTGGTTGATAGGTGCTATCAGGTATAAGAAAACCTTAGTGAATCTGCCTGTAGTTCTGTGGTAGGTCAAGACAGACAGTGAGACCACAAAGGGAGAAACATGGGAAAATGGTGACTGTCAATGCCAGTATATTTTATGCAGATGTTCTGGCCTGTCAGGAGTGGTTGGAGGTTCCAAGGTCCAGGGGAACTCTTGTATGGACAGGGTTGCCTATGGCAGAAAGCAAGGGGACCATTGGAGAGTAACAAGACCCTTGTCTCATTCAGCAAGCTTCCAGGTGGCAGTAGACATCTGGCTTTATTTCCAGGCATTGTCTTCTGCCTGTCCTGTGGTCTAGCTGCATTTATCTTTATGTGGAGTGAGTGCTGAGTGACTGGAATGGTTGGACTTCTTGGGCTGGGTTCAGTGGGTTAGTAGTGAAGTGAGTGACTATTTGCTCCCAGGGCTCCCTGAACTTCCCTTGACAATGTCCATGTTCTGTGTACTCTCCAGGACCATGCATGCCACTGAGCACTGAAATGTAGCTGGTGGACCTCAGGAACAGAATTTTTACTTCTGTTCCATTTCAGTTACATTAGTGTTTGCTGGTACCTGCTGCATTGGGCAGCACTGCTCTGGAGACAGACAAGTGAGATCATAGTATGTCAGGTGGTAAGAGGACCATGGAGCCAACTGGTGATCCCCAACAGGGGACCAACAGGTGAGGGATAGGGAGGCAGCACAGAGTGACATTCTAGTGAAATCCGTGGATTCCTGGGGAACCTTTTTCACAGTCTAGGAATGGCCTACATCTATGACAGGGAGTGCTCATGTGGGTAACCGGAGATTCAGGGTCAAACCCTGCAATTGTGGGGTCATCATAAGGGGCAAGCAGAGGCTTGTCAGCTGCTTTTAGGTATGGGCTCTTGTGGCCAGTGTGGTAAGGATCCTACCAGTACATAGGCAGTGCAGTCAGCGTGCAAAGGGACCCTATGCAGGTTTATCAGGAAAATAGGGCCCACCCCCTGGGATTGGCTGGCAGATGTGATGGAAAAGGCCAGCAGCCCAGTACCCTCAGAGCATATGTCTGAGTGAGTTTTCATTGACTATAGTGGGGGAAAGGTAGCGGTTATGTGGGGATGAAGTTGTTGTCGGTTGCCCTTAGACATCTAAGTGGACATGGACGTGGGTGATAGGTGTCAGGTTGGAGTATGTGGCACGGGAAGGCTTTGGTTTGCCAGTCATTCACATGTAGACAGAGATTGAAGCCTGAGGCTCTAGCTGGGAACAGAGAATGTGGATGAAGGAAAGAACAGGGTGGGGTAGGATGTCCAAAGTCAAGTTGAGAACTATTTGGGGGTATTTCTAGAAGGGCCTGTGCCTCTGAGGGTCATTTTAAGAGAAAGACTAGGAATGATGGCTGCATCTCACCATGGGGTTGTTGGTGACCTTGATAGGTAGCTTGTAGGGAGCAGAGGGGACAAGGACCTTAACAGAGTGGGCTATCAGAATCTCTGAGCTGGGATACTGTGCAAGAAGGTGAATTGAGATGATGACAAACCCTGTCTGTCCTGAGTGGGCATCAGCAGGGCAGGACCAGGATGTGGGGTACATCTCACGTAGGGCCGGACAGTATGAGGTGCATGGTGTGCCTCCATGTGTGTGAGATGGAAACTGGTGGAGGGCAGGGGTAATCTCAAAACTAGTGTCATGATGACTTACCCTAACTTGTTTTAAATGTTGAAAGCTGTGCACGTGAATTGGGGCACTAAAAATCAACCAGTCCGTGGAGATTAAGGAGATGTGATGCCTAAATGCAGTGCAGTATCTGGATTGCCCTTGGAACGGGAAAGGATATCAGGCCGGGGCAGTTGGTGAATCTGACACAGTCCTCTGGCAACATGCCTCTTCTGACTTGTTGTTGTGATGAGATAATGTGGGTGTATGCAGTGTTAACTCAGGGGATGCTGGGAGAAGGAGACATGGTAACTTTCTGCATTGTTTTTTCAAATTTTCTGTCAGTCTGTTTTTTCAAAATAAAATTTTTTAAAACACAACTAAATGTAGATATTAAGTAAAGCATTCTGACCTTTTCTTTGCTAGTGACAGTCCCAATGCTGTTCTTGAGGTGGAAAAGTGGCTGCCCCGGTTGCATGTCCTTGTCGTGGGGCCTGGCCTAGGTAGAGATGGCCCCATCCTCGACAGTGTCAAGGTAAGTTGTAGCATGGCCGCTCTCAGACTGTGACCTTGGAGTGCAAGCCTTGCCCTCATGTTCTTCAGGCATAAATAGTGGATTGTGGGGCTGAGGATGTGGCTCAAGTGGTAGCGCGCTTGCCTGGCATGCGTGCGGCCCGGGTTCGATCCTCAGCACCACATACAAATAAAGATGTTGTGTCCGCCGAAAACTAAAACAAATAAATAAATATTAAAATTCTCTCTCTCTCATCTCTCTTAAAAAAAAAAAAAAAAAACAATAGTGCATTGTACAGCCTTCCTCAGCCTCCTCTTGGAGTAGTGAAGATGGGTAGATGTGTGAGGGGTTGGGGGGCAGCGAGGCCAGCGGTTCCCAGGCTGCACGGGTCTCCTCTTTACTCTGGGTGTTAGCAGTGACGCTGAGCAGCAGGAGCGGCTTTGTCAGTGTGGGGCTGCTCAGAGGTTTCCTGTCTCATGCAGTGTGGGGCTTTGCAGAGTTGAGTGGACAGAAGCTTGGTGTCAGACACAAGTGCCCTCCTCTGGCTGCCCCTCTTGCTGGGGTCCCTGGTGGTCACCCCACCAGGCTGTGAGAGCCATGTATTGTAATGTGCTGAGTGCAGTGCCAGATGGGCAGGCACACTTGAGGACACTGTTGTGAACCACCCTAGCTGGGGTAGGGCATCCTGAGGGCTGTTTGGAATCATCACTTTGCTTTCCTAGGAGATGGGCATTTAGGGAATGATCTGGAAGGGCGCTGCTGACTGCAGCTTTGTTGGTCTCATTTCTTAGCCACATGCTTCTCCTTCCTTTATTGAGGTCCTCCTCAGGTCAGAGAACCCTGGACTTTGGGTCCTGGGCCTATTGCTATGTGGCTTTGCTTCTCCTGTGCCGGCCTTGTTTCTCAGCCCAGTCACCTGTTTTCAAGACTCAGGTTCTCAGGCAACAGGGCCTCCAGTTCGTACCATGTGTACACACGTGTGCATGTGCACACACATTACTCCAAGTTCATTTTATGCCTGTCTTCATTTAAAAAGATGAACTTAGGCTGGGGACATAGTTCAGTTGGTAGAGTGCTTGCCTCACATGCACAAGGCCCTGGGTTCAATCCCCAGCACCATGAAAAAAAAAATGAGCATTTTTTATTCTAAGAAATTGAAACGTACATAAATACCTGGGATTGGGGAAGAGGAAGACAGGCTGAGCCGGCATGCCAGCTTTGTGTTCTGAATCTTCGCTGCCCAGTGTTCCTCTGGGAGCACTCCCACCTCCTGGGCAGACATGTTTCTGGAACTCCCCTCCAAGAGACTGTCCTAGCTGCCCGGCACCTGCCCACACTGCAGCCTGGGAGAAGCAGCCGTGTGTTCAGGACTATTGGGTTTGGGTCTTGACCCCTCCCTGTGGGTGCCACTGTGCCTTTGTGTGCAGTGGTGCTGTCCCTGCCAAGGCTGGGGAAGGAGCCTCACATCCGTGACTGGCTACTTGGTGTTCATTGGAATCAGCAGCACATTGGATGGGTCTATGTCCCTGTTATTGCCATCACCTCAGTACTCCGTTGAATGCCTCATTTGCTGAGAGGGCTTGAAGAGGTGACTCATCTCCCTGTCCCAGGGTTGAGCACTGTGGCTGCAGGGGGAGGACACGCTGGGGAGGGGTGCTGTCACCGAGGGGCTGTTCTCCGCTTGGCTTTTGCCTTTCAAGTGAGAGAGACAAAAGGTTCACAAGGCAGGCAGGCATGAGGAGCTATTGGGTTGGGTGGGCTTTCCTGGTAGGGCCCGGTAAAACAAGTTGTAAAAAGGCAGGCGAGCATTTGCTTTACCAGACTTTCTCAAGAGCAAGGCTTAGAGATATCTTCCATGACCAGTCTTCCAGTTCCAGCCTGTAGGTTGAGAGTTGGGGTTTGAAATGTTCCTCAAACTCATGAATTATCAGAATTGTCACTGAGGGGAAGCTAGCTCTGGCAGGTGACAGGGACTGGGAGAACTAGAATTGAATGATTTTGTTTTTAAAACTTTAAAACTGATATAGAGGGTTGATACAGCTCATTATTTTTCTTCCAAAGGGATAGTGTCCCTTCCGAAGAATGTGTCCCCTGCTATGCCTGGTGCCTGGAGAATTCTTGCAGATACTTCTGTGTGTCTCTTACTACTTTGGATTTGAATTTTTTGATCATATTTTTTATTGGAGCTTTATAATCATGTGTCCATTTAAAATGAACACTTCATTGGTTTCTAGTGTGATTCATAGAGTTGTGCAGCTATCACCACAGTCTATTTTAGAATCTTGTCATTACCCCAAAAGGAAACCCCAAGCTCATTAGCATTTGTCCCCTGGGCCCCACTCCCTCCCCAGTGCCTGGCAGCTGCTAACCAGTTGAAGTGAATGGCCCATTCTGAACATTGTGTTTGAGTGGACTCATACAAAACAGTAGCTTTATTCCCTCAGCATGATTTCTCTGGACTTGGCCTGGCATCCTGGTTGAAAATCAGTTGGCCTAAGGGTGAGGGTTTATCCTGGACTCTCATCTCTGCTGGGTCCTGTGCCTGCCCTTGTGCCCCTTAAGATCATCAGCTTGTTGATTTGCAGAATTGGCAGCTGGGATTTCAGTAGAGATTATGTTGACTTTGTAAATAAAGCACATAAAGCATTACAAAAAATACATAACTAATGATTTGGGGCATTTCCAAGATTCTTATTTCTTATCTCTGAATCCTGTTGGGAATCTGGAAACACTAGGTGGGTCTTCGTGGACTAGCCTAGGAACCCAACTGCTGTTTTCACAGTTCTCTGTTCCCTGCCTTACTATGGGGCTCTTGTCAGATCTTTGGGTCTTTCCTCCTGTTTCTTTGGTTCATTAAATGTATTATCTTGTGTCTATCTGTTGGTGACCTTATGTTACCTTTTATTGAAGCACAGCTTGGTTTTCTTTAATTCCTCTTGAGAGGTGGCTGGTTTGTTAATCAGTCTGTTTTCTTTTGGGGCAGGGTATTTTGGAATCATCCAAGGCCAGAGACATCCCTGTCGTTGTTGATGCGGTGAGTGTGGCCTCCCCTCTTCCCATACAGTGAGTGCAGGGCCTCAAGGGCCTGCCCAGTGAAAATACATTCTCGTTGTGCACAGGATGGCCTGTGGCTGGTAGCTCAGCAGCCAGCTCTCGTGCATGGGTACCAGAAGGCTGTCCTCACTCCCAACCACGTGGAGTTCAGCAGGCTCTATGAAGCTGTGGTGAGTTAGGGCTTCCTGTGGGACAGGAACTGAGGGGAAGGGATGGCCTGTGTGGTTCTGCCAAGCCTGTCCCTATAGGCCCATCTCTGCAGGGACACACTCACAAATGCCTAGTAGTTGTGTTTCTGTGGATTCCCACATGCATGTGTTTCACACTGTAATGTGCAACACGATGCCTCTTGCACAGCTGGGTGCTTCTAAGTGAGGGAATGATGGTGGGGTGGGCTTGGGTCAGCTGCCCTTGCTGCACACTCTGGCAGGTTGCTCCACTCTGTTCTGCAGTGCCTCATCTGTGAAACGTGGAATGATGGCATTTGCTTCAAAAGATGAGGACAAAATGAAGCAGCTCATGATATAGCACCTGTCTTCACACAGCAGGTGTCCTGTGAACATTAACTCTCATGATTCAAATGTCTATTATTTCTGAAAACTTTCTGGTCTGACCAGGTAAAGGACAGGTTCTAGAGCAAGTGTAGTTTAAGCATCTGCTGGGAGGACTTGCTATAGGTGTATCTGTCAGCCTTGAACAGGTGCCTGGCTATTCCTTTGGACACAAGCAGCCGAGGCTCGTGGTGGATGGGACAGAGCTATCTGTATGTGGTGGCCCCTTTTGCCTGTCGGGAAGACTTGAAAGACTTGGTTTTCTGGTTGTCTTCCTGTGTCATAGCTCAGAGGTCCTGTGGACAGCAGTGACCCCCGTGGATCTGTACTGAGACTCAGCCAGGCCCTGGGGAATGTGACAGTGGTCCAAAAAGGAGAGCATGACCTGATCTCTGATGGCCAGCAGGGTGAGTGGGGGCTTCCCTCTGCATGGCAATTCTGCGTGGGCATACAGGGTAAGCCTTGGAGAACCTGGTTCAGAGTCAGCCCCAGCGGGTGAGTCCTTTTGCATGGGAATGTGGTAGCCAGGAGAGGGGTCAGGCCATGGCTGCGGGGATGGACATGTGCCTAGGCCGGCCTGATGAAGCATCTGGTAGGAAGGTGCTGCTCTGGTCAGCATCCCAGCCTCCTGCCTCACTCTCAGTGGGGCATCCACATTGTTGAGTTTCCTGCTGTCTTGTTAAAATGACCAGGAGATGAGGAAAATCTTGGAGCTGATGTTATTAGTGGAGTCCCAGGTGCCTTCTCCTGCGCCTAAGGGCTATGCAGCAAGAGCAAAGTGGAGACTTGCTGTGAGCGTCCAAGAGAGCCTGCGTGTTACTCTTCGCTCTGAGAGTAGAAGTCACCCCTCTTCACTGCCCAGTGGACCACCATAATAGGTCCTTTTTAACAAGGAACTGTTAACAAGAATGTTGCTGATTAGGAACTTGAAATCAGGGTAAAGGAGCACTGAGATACATGGGGTGGGTGTGTGCACACGTGCACACTCACATGCACACATACATTTATAGAAAAGGTGTGTTCTCAGAAGACTGGAGACCTTTGAGACAAGGCTCTTATAACCAAAGGAACTCTTGATTATAACAGAGACTAGAGCTTTGGATTTTTAAAATATTTTCCAAAGAAAGAAAACTCCCAGAAGTATAGGCACCTGTAACATTACAGCAGTTAACAGAGGCGTCTGTGCAGGCTGACTTGGAGTGTGTTGCTGTGTTGGTCGGGGTGCACCTCAAGTTGGGGAGGCAGGCATGGCATGTGTCTGGGGAGCGGGCTTGGGCTCCAGAAGCTGGGCATGAAGGAATCACCTCGTGTTCAGCTCCTCTTCTCGGCGCCTTCTCAGTGGTCTGAGGGTAGGTGTCTCTGCTCCCTATGGTTCAGGACAGCCTAGGCTAAGTGTTTTTTTCTTCCTCTGGAAACTAGAAGTCAGCTCGCATCCTTGTGAGAACCAATAGGGAAGAGCTGCGGGCGGCAGGCAAGTGGCCGCGGACTGCAGTGCCAGTGTCCGCACTCAGCATCTCTCGTGTTCTCTGTAGTGCTCACGTGCAGCCACGAAGGCAGCAGCCGCAGGTGTGGCGGACAAGGAGACCTCCTGTCGGGTTCCCTAGGTGTCATGGTGCACTGGGCGCTCCTCGCTGGGCCCGAGAAGACAAATGGGTACGCCATGTCTGCGTTTGTCCTACTTTGAGATTAATTTTGTTAGCTGTTTGAATAGCATGTACATTGAATCCCTTGAAAGGTTCCAGATGAATGACCAGGATTACATGGAAGATGTACCAGGGCAAAGGTCAGCCCTGTCCATGAAAACTGTTGCATGTACACCCAGGCCTAGGCCTCAGTCCCATCAGGCCGTGCAGAAGGGCCTGGGACAGCACTGGGTTTCACAGCCCCAGTAATTCTGCTGAGCGATCACAGTTAGGGGCACTGTTCTGGGAGTTCAGTTGTGGACTCCGTAAACCAAAATATTAGGGTAAAAAGCAGACAGTCTGAAGGGTGACCATGGTGGCTGCACATGCTACAGGGAGGACAGCCAGCCTCTGGAGGCCCCATTTGTCATCTTGGCAGGACACTGCTGGGATGGTAATGTTGCCACAGCTGTGCATGAAAACCCGGGACTACACACCCAAAATGGGCGTATCTGTGTGGACTTGGGCTTTGCTCAGCTATGCAGGGCAAAGGTACAGAGGGCTGCTCTAGCTTCTTCCTTGTCCCTGGGTATGCACTGTGGAGAACCAGCACTCTGGCCTCAGGCATTCCTCCATATCCTGGGAAAACCAGGCCCACAGGCACAGCTACCAAGCTTCTGAGGGGAGATGAGTCCCTCTCCCTTCTTACCTGCGTCCACCATGTTTCAGAGGTGCCTTCCACCAGGGAATTCAGTATGCAAGCAGTTGAGCTTCTGTTGGCTAGCAGAGCCCTCCTCGGGCCTGGCTGACTTGAGATTGCAAGTTGGACTCTTAAGGGTAAAATGTGGCCCGCCCGTGGCCACAGCCCACCATGCCCCTTGTGCTGCAGGCTGGCCATGTGGAGGCCTCTTACGCGCCCCTTCCCTCCTCCCAGCTCCAGCCCACTGCTGCTGGCTGCCCTGGGCGCCTGCTCCCTCACAAGGCAGTGCAACCACCAGGCCTTCCAGAAGCATGGCCGCTCTACCACCACCACCGACATGATTGCAGAGGTCGGAGCCGCTTTCAGCACACTCTTCGAGACCTGAGCAGCACACCTGGAAGAAAAGTGGCACCATGGACTGGGGAGTGCACCTGAACTGGAGACCTCACATCTGCGTGCCAAGCCCTCAGTGCCCAAACAGCCGGTTGCCTGGGAGGGTTTTGCCTCAGTGTAAATTGGTTGAGTAGAGAACTTGGGAATTTGGGTCATAGCATTTTCTGTCTGGACTGAACATGTAGTTGGGAATGTTATGACACTGAGCAGAGTCTTCCTGCAGTTTTCTGAGGCTTCTCAGCAGGTGCTGAGGAGAAAAAAGAGGGAGGCCTGTGGGCCACCAGCTGGGCTTCTGGGCTGCTGAGAGTGGCACTCACCGTCCCCCAGCCAGGCGCTGAAGATCTTCTCTCCCCCTGGTGGCTGCTCCTTGTGGAGGACCAACATTCCTAGATACCTATGGGAAGGCCAAGTGTGGTCTTAATTGAGGCCCACCAAGGATGCCACCCTCAGTCTTGATCTCATTTTTCTTCTCCAGTGCTGATTGGATGTTGTTGGGGGTTAACTTATTAAAGTGTTTCAGAATTATCAGTGATAAATGTCCCTTGAAATCTTTTGGAGGCCCCATGGGAAGACCGAATGAAACCTGGGTGTTGCCTACACCTGGAGGGGCAGTGGGGAGCCCGAGACGCCTCCAGCCTTCTCTGTTCTGCGCACATGCACTTCCCTGTGATGTCCCCGTGGTGGATGACACCCCAGCACAGGAGCATGACCCAGGAGGCTTGTGTCCTGTCGCTGATGTGTTGGACATCACTGTCCTGGGAGGAAGTAATCAGGCTAGACTTTTGGAAATGTCAGCCTTGCTGGAGCTACTAGGGTGACAGCATGAAGGAGGCCCCAGGGAAAGACTGATGTCACTGTCACTTCTACTTTTCAGTAATATGACTGGTCCACCGAAGAAATTGTTACCTCTGAAGTCCAGTAAAAAAGACATTTTACTGCACTGTTAACGTTGGGTTAACTTGTGTTTTGTGATGTGGTGTGTCTGACACTCTTGATGTGTGGCCCCATTTCTCAGAAGATGTGGTCCTTGTGTTTGAGTGTGCTGAGACCTTGATGTGCCTTCCTGCCTGACTCCTGAGGGCTTTCTGCACTTGGTGATCACTCTCTTCAAAATGGTCTAGATGGGACTGGGGTTGTGTAACTCAGTGGTAGAGTGTTTGCTTAGCACATGTGAAACACTGGGTTCAATCCTCAGCACCACATAAAAATAAATAAATAAATAATAAAGGTATCTTGTCCATCTATCTACAACTTAAAAAAAATTTTTAACAATGGTCTAGATGGTTATACTTCCCCCCCCCCCCCTCCAAGTACTGGAACCCAGAGTTTTATACATGCTAGACAAGTGCTAGCCCAGTGAGCCACAGCCCTAGCCCTTTTCATTTTGAGATGGGGTCCCACTATTTGGCCCCAAACTTTCAGTCCCCCTGCTTTAGACTCCTGAGTAGCTGAGATTATAGACAGATGGTCATGCTTTCTTTAAAGCTAGTCAACTTCCAAGATTAAAAATTTGCTACGGTTATGTCAAACTTTAGAACCTATCTATATCTGAACTTTCTGGAAGAATTGCCTTGGAAAGCAGAAAAAGCCTGGTGGCTGTTATAGCCCTGGCTTATTTAAAGGTGGAGTTTTCTCTAAGCTGTCCTGAGTGAGGACGCTGGCAGACATCAGAAGACAGAGGATGGGCCTGTTACCTGCCTGCAGCATTCTCACCACCACCTGCCAGCGTTGCCACAGCAGTCACCTATAAGCCCGAGACAGCCACCTTCCAAGGAAATAAAACTCGCCAAAGTCATAGGAACTCATGTTTTCATTACTTAAGCTTTCACTCTGAATAAGCAAGAGTCCGTCCTTGAGGGGAGATGGGGGTTGTCACCTGGGTTGTTTTAATGCAGCTAGCTGCACCCTGTTCTTTGACAAACCCACATACGTGCACTAGTTCAGCCAAAGACACTGGTGCTGGGAGTGCCCCCAGGACCTGGCCAGCAGCACTGGAGTGCTGGGGTAGTGCTGGAGTACTAGTCTTCCTCCAGGTGCCCCCTGGAAATCCCTCTACCTCGGTTTACCAGATAGTGACTCCTGAATGACATACTTAGCAAAAACCTGGGTGTCCAGTGCCTTCATGGCCACAGGGCTTAAATGGAGATAGTAAGCCAGGCCATAGCTGCATGGAGCCATGTGCTACTGCAGGCACAGGATCAAGAGGGAAGGGCCAGGAGAGGCCTGGTCCAGGATCTGCAAGCTGGGGAAGCCAAAAGAGCCAGCCACCTCCTGTCCTACTTGTTTCAGAGGCAGCTATGGTCCTCCACCTACCTTTAGCCCTGTGGGGCATTAGCTGTGACTCCTGTTTTCCCCTCCTCAACTCCTTCCAAGGACCTCAGCTGTTAAGCATCTGCCCAGTGGGGTCCCACTCTCAGGTTCCTCCTATGCACTCTGGTTCTGGGGTGCAGAGCCAGCTCACATCCTAGACTGCTGACGACTGTCCAGTCTGGCTGTTGGCACTGTCAAGTTCATTTTTCGGACTTACAGACAGACACCAGTAGGGTAGCCTCCCTTCACGTCATTTCAGTACTGACTGTTATGGTTTAGATGAAAGTTCCCCAAAAGCTCATGTGAGACAATGCAATAAGGTTTAGATCCTAAAAGCCTTAATCCAGTCATTGAATCATCCCTGATGGGGATTAACTGGTCACTGAAGGCAGGTGGGCTGTGGCCTTGGGAGTACATATTTTGTATCTGGAGAGTGGAGTCTCTGTGGTTCCTGATCATCATGTGAGCCGCCTCCCTCTACCACTCTCTTCTACCATTATGTTCAGCCTCACCTCAAGCCCTGAGGAACGGAGCCGGCTGCCCATGGATTGAGATCTCTCAAACCGTGAGCACCCTGATAAACTTTTCCTCCTAAAAATTTTCTGGTTAGATCTTTCAGTCACCGCAGCAAAAAAGCTAACTAAAACACCGAGTAGCCACTGTGGAAACTTTAATATAAAGTTTTCACCAGAAGCTGCATGCTTGTGTAGGCCGATGACTGCTCCTTCCTCAGCTTCCTGGCTTCTGGTGTTTTGTCCTGGGATCCAACAGTTCCCATGTGGAGATAGTGCTGCTTCTGTCCTAGAGAAGGAAAGTTTAGGTTCTGAGTAGCCAGCCCACGGGTGATGGTAACAGCAGCCAGCTTCAGGATAAAAAGAAGGATAAGTAGAACCAAGTGACTGGAGAGGCCTGCTGCTAACTTCCAGAAGGCCAGTGGGGCAGGGGAGGCTGAGCAGGACCTGGGCCTCGGGCACTGCCACGGGGGCTGAGGAATGAGTGTGTCTCAGTGGGAGACAGTGGGTCTAGCCTGTTAGCCCCATTAGGGGGACTGCACTCACCTTGATGCTGATGCCATGTGTGGCAAGGTCCTGGCGCAGGGCATCACATGCCTCCAGCAAGGGCCGCCTCTCCAGGAGCAGCTGTCGCCGGGCATCCCCAGTGGCCTCAGGTGTGGTCAGTGCATACTGCCGGACCTTCAGCCGGAAACGCACCAGCTCATCCACCACGCTGTGCAGAGTAGCCACACTGCTGTCTCCTGAAATGCACTGAGCGCAAGGCCACACTGCAGAGTGTGCAGTGAACAAGTCTTCCTGGTAACCTAAAGCTGGCCCTGCTGGGGACCTCAAGGGGATGAGCCACGGGGGTCTGGCTCCACTCCACTTGGACGAGTGCCTGTTGTCCCAGCTGAACTGAAACCCACTCAGGAGTTAAGAGGAAGGGCCCTGGAGCCCAGCCCCATCAAGGCCTTGGGAGCCATGCAGGGATAATGCAGGGAGGTGGGATAGCGCCTCAGCGCCACCCTATCCTGTCATCTGAGGAGAGTCCACAAGTCTGAGCCTGGGGTACTCATGAGGACAAAGCCATCCACTGTAACCAAACGTTTAAGATGCTGTAGAAGTTGAATGGCTTGCTGTGTGTTCATGTGCAAATACACACTAATTCAACACAGAGGTTCCTGCACTGAGGGATGCGCACAGGGTGGCAGCTGCTCAGCCTGTAACCAGCTGGGTAAACATCACCAAAAGCGGGGCTTCCTATGAAAACCAGATTTAGAAGTCATGGCTCCTCCACCCCCAATTTCTACCCCTGCTGTGGAGATAAAAACGAACCATGTTTTATAACTTCACGAAGTCTACAAAGCTTCATACGACCCTCAATCACTACTTTCACAATAAGAGGACATTGGTTGCTACAGAAATGTGAGTGTAAAGTGGTCCCAGACAGCAGCCTTGAGGTGGGGGAAGGTGAATGAGTTGTTTTGATAAGGGTCAGGCACAAGTTGGCCACGTATATTTTCACTATACAGACTCTGGAAAGCCTTGTCTAAAAATGAATGTACGTGCTGTAAAGCCCTGGTCATTTCAGGTCAGTAGAGACTTGTGTCCAGACAGACCCTGAACTTGAGTAAGGCGAGCCAGTCTACCAGATGATGGGCAGGTACCTGAAGGAGCCAGACTTGGGAGCTGCTATGGAGATACTATAGTCCTCTGTTAAAACAGTCAAAGGAATTCATAGTAGTAAAAGTCCCAAGAGAGGACTCAGGGGTACAGAGGGCAACCTGGACCAGGGACCAGGCCCAAGTCCCCAAGCAGCAGGGGGGGCTCCTGGGTGCAGGTCACTGAGCAAAAATGGCAGTCCCCTGTTAAATCAGTAAACAGCTCTACCCCCAAAGCCAGCAGAAGACCCTGACAGAGATTGTAAAGGCCTCAGCAGAGACGGGCTGCAGTGCAGCCAGAGAGGGCAGGGTTCAGCCCACCTTGAGGAGGATCCTGCACATGCGCAGTGCTGGCCTTTCTGCATTAACAAGAAAAGCATGTGTGTGTGTAGTGTAGAAAGGACTCTGACCGGCTCTTTCCTCATCCTTCCTGATCCGTCCTGGGTGTAGGTGCTTTTGGGTATAGCAGTGTAAGGTAGGTGAGGAGGAAGAGGGGACCACATGGGGCCTTGAAGCCCAGCGGTGTCCGTGCAGTAGGCAGCCCCAGGGGTAGGATGACAGCCCCACAGGATGGAGAGTTCCTGCACTGAGGGGTGTGCAGGGCATGCGCACAGGGTGGCAGATGCTCAAGGAGACTTCATGAGTGGATTTGTGGAGGGGCCAGGGACTGAGATGTTGATGGTGGTCCTTGAATTGCAGTCAACATAGATGGATGTAGTGAAGTTCGATCGTATAAGTGCCCCAGCATGGCATCCAATGAGGCCTGGCGCTGCCAGCTCACCCTGTGCTCCATCTACACATCTGGAAACCCATGGCAAAGAAAAGGCCACCCTGGGAGCAGCCAACAAGCCTCGCGCTTGTAATTCCACAGGGACATGTCCATGGACATGGCCAGGGACCAGAAGCTTCACTAGCCACAAACCATGAAGGCCGACACACAGGGAACCTGAGTCTGTGCTGACGGAAGTGAGAGGCGGTGAGTGAGGAGGACGCACAGCCTCCCACTTACAGGAAGAAGCCCATCACAGTGAAGCCCGGCAGCCCCGCCCTCAGGAGGTGGTTCATGTGTCACCAGGAAAGGACACATGGGCCTGGTTCTGCCATCCTGTCAGAGACGCACAGCCAGCGCTGGGGCCCAGACTGAGGGAAGTCCCAGCCAGGCTGGGCTGGGCTGGGAAGACCTCTCTGGGTGAGGGGAAGCCAGCAGGGTGCCTGAGAACAGAGGGGCTAGTGGCAGCCCACCACGTCTCGCACTCAGGCCAGCAGCTTTCTCTCAAATAACTTGGGACAGTGTTTACTCCTGTAGGTGTAATCTTTCTATAATTTCCAAGTCTCCAAACAAGACCGTGGCTCAGGTCAGACTCTGGCTCTGCTCACATGTCAGCCCTCAGCAGAGTGCCAATGAGGTATTGGCTTGAGTGGGTTTATTTTTGTAATACATGAACATAAAATGTTAATTTGGCAATGTAGGCATCCCTAAAA